TGATGGCTTTGGTAGTTCTCCATGTTTTCGCTCCATACAGTAGAACTGTCTTGACATTTGTATTGAAAATGCTGATTTCGGTTTTGGTTGAAAGTTGTTTGGAGTTCCAGATATTTTTCAACTGTAGAAATGTAGCCCTCGCTTTGCCAATCCGTGCCCCCACATCTGCATCGGATCCACCTTTCTCGTCGATGATGCTGCCCAGATATGTAAAGGTGTTAACGTCCTCCAAGGCATCTCCATCAAGAGTGATTTGGTTGGTGCATGTTGTGTTGCATCGGAGAATTTCGCTTTTTCCTTTATGTATGTTGAGACCAACTGCTGCAGAGGCTGCTGCTACACTGGTCGACTTCTCTTGCATTTGTTGTTGAGTGTGCGATAGAAGAGCCAAGTCATCTGCGAAGTCCAGATCGTCCAGCTGCTTCCTAAATGTCCAGTTGATACCGTGCTTCCCTCCAGATGTCGACTTCTTCATAATCCAGTCGATCACCAACAGGGCACAATATTATTTTTTTTAAAACAATGTATGTCTCTATCTGTCTGTTTAATAAAGCCCAAAGATGAATAATCTATTTCTCCTACCATAATATTAGTTTTATTGGTCAATTTTTCTAAAAAAACCATTCATCCTATACGTGGCTTCTAGATTATTCTGCATGTCGTCAACATTGAAATGATAATAATAATTCATTTTTGCATTAAAATATTTTATTCTTGTCAACATTCACATTGTCATTATGATGGTCAGAATGAGAGAAGAGAAAGTTCCAGAGTATTGAAAATCATTCCGCTACACATACACATACACATTCATATATATGCTTCCAGATAAATTGCATGTCTGACAAGCAAGCAAACTAAAAACTACTAATCACGATAAGACTGGCGACTTTTTGATGCGTTACATTTATTGCTTACTTGTTAAACATGCAATCTATCAACGAACGTATTTATATATAAATATGTACCTTCGTTAAGGCCTTGAAAAGTCATGTCTATTAAGTACACTTAAACACAAATTGAATTTTAATTTTATTTCTACAACAACAAAAAAAAGGTAGCCAAATCCATGAGTAGGATTATTGGAAGCTTCTATTTTTCCTGTGTTCAATAAATATGATGTATCAATATTTTGTAAAATAACACGCTACGACGTATTACACATTTTTGAAACCATGAACAGACCAATGTTAGACCACCATTAGAAACCTGGAAGCACTGGACGGCCGTTTCATCCTAGTATGGGACTCCTCAGCAGTGCGCATCCACGACTCCTGCACCCCGCAGGATTCGAACCCGGGACCTTCGGTATTGTGCGTAACTTAACAATCTTCACAACAACCCAATAATGCAAATTACCTGTGCTCACTAGTGACTAGCTTCGTGAGGAATCTTCTCCGAGTTCTAGTGGGAAGACGTGACCAGTGAAGTTCAACCTGTTCGGGTGTAGACAGTGTCTACCGAAGACTGTGTATGAGGTTGCGCAACTCCGTGAATTTGATCAAGTTAGACATTAACACCGTTAGATACCGGCTCAGTGGTCCAGAGGTTAGGCGTTCGCACACAATACCTAGGTTCGAATCCTGCGGGTGTAGGAGTTGTGGATGCGCACTGCTGAGGAGTCCCATACTAGGATGAAACGGCCGTCCAGTGCTTCCAGGTTTCTAATGGTGGTCTAACATTGATCGATTCATGGTTTCAAAAATTTGTAACTTAACAATCTTCACAACCCCGTAATACGATGTATTGGTTGCCTACAAGTTAAGCATTCGCACGCAAGATCGAAGGTCCCGGGTTCGAATCCTGTGAGGTTTCAGGAGTGTCATGGATGTGCATTGTCCCATATCATCAGGACGAAATGGCCGTCCTCCAGGTTTCTAATGGCTGTCTAACAATGATTGATTGATGATTTCAAATGCGTAAACACACAGATCATCATAACTTTAATTGAAGCAACAATAGTCTATTATAAACATTTCTAATGTGAAGTACAGTATAATTTTTACCGGACAACCAGTATAATGTAATTGAAATAAAAGCTTAATTTAGAAAAAAAACTGTACACTCATTGAATGGAAAAAATAACTGAGCACATCTTACTGTCTTCGGAATAATTGATAAACATTGAAAATGATGTTGATTAACTGACTGATGATTGCGCCTGTTATCCCCCAAGTGGAGAACATAGCCCGATGACCAGTTTTCTCCAACCAACTCTGTCCTGAGCATCTCTTTCCAGTTCTTTCCAATTTTTTATTCATTTTACCTCATGTCTTTCACTATTTTCCGGCGTAATTTGTTCTTTCGCCTTCCTCTTTTCCTTTGACCATGATGGTTTCAAGAGAGGGCTTGTCCTGCGATGTGCACCTGGATGTTTTCCTCAATATGGAGTCCTATCCACTTTCACCTCTTCTTCCTGATTTCCTCCTCTCTCCTACAGTAGGTTGTTTACTGACGATGTCTGGTCAAAACATTGAACATGTGAAAGACAATCTGAATCTTAAGCATTCACCATATCGGTATAACATTTCTTGTATGCAGTTTATTTGCTTGTATTATGGGATTTATTAAAATGGCACCCTTAACAACCAGACAATCAGTTAGTTAATTGTTTAATCAATTCCAATATTTATAAAATATAACACTGAATGAATTATTCTAAATTATTAAGATTAATTATTAATCATTACAAATGAAAAAAAATGACACTCCTAAATTAATCAATAAACAAGTAATATAATATAACTTGAATTGTTTGAATTTATTGAAAATTGAATTAGTGAATAATGATTTAAACCATTTGGTTGTTTGATCATTCATTGAATGTGAATAATGTTTTGTTTTTAAAACTCATGATATGTTGTGATATATGATATTTGTTAGGCGAAGATTTAAATAACCAATACATTTGAAGTACGAACTTCATAGATTTTTCTTGGAACTGTAAATTGAACGTTGATTGGTTGAAGTAGCTTTGTGGTGCGAGCTACTTATAAGTAGTATATGACGTGAGTGTCAACGTAATGTCTGGCAGCCGAAGATGGGGGAAGATCAAGAAAGGAAGAGTTAGAAAACAATGGAATTTGTATGAAACGCATCATGAATAGTGACAATGGATTGATGTTTTGCAACAGGAACAGTCCAGTTCGATATGATGGATTGATATTTTGCAAATAAACGATTTACGATATGGTTTTCCTATTTTACTGAGTAACTCTGTAATTTTCGTTAAATACAATTCGGTTGCCTTCACCTGTGTTCTCGTTCACTACAGCTTGATAGTTTAATTGGCTTCAGAAGAAATGATTTGAGGAGTTATCGTTGATTGTGAACAATACAGTAGAAGTATAGTCGAAAATTGATTTTTAATGTCAGAAATTCAACGGCAACTTGATAAAAAAAGGTAGTCATTTGCTCACTAATGACTAATTACAAATGCTTAGTGAATTAAGTCAGGATTAGATTGACCGCTGGTCACATGGCATCTTTCACAAAATGCTTGCCCAAAACTTACACATATCAAGTTTGTTCTAACTAACTCATGATTGTCGGTTCAGACTTAGATTGGATCTTGATAAGTGATTATCGAGATATGCAGTTAACTTGAGGATTCTAAACTGTGATCACTAAGATTGTAGGAAAAGTTTGTTTCAATTAATAAACATTATTTTCAGTATTGGACGGTTATTGAACATTGAACATACCGTTCCGTGTATATAGTGCAGTAAATACAAACAAAACACAAGTAATCATCTGTAAGCGGATGATTCCAAACAATTAATCTGTTTATGTTTGCATAGTATCAGTGTAACCGTTTATTGGTGTTGGGGACGTTAAATCCCCAGAACTCGCTCGATAAATGTCTTAATTTTGGATTTTATTCATGGGCTGATCAGTTGACCTTGAGATAACATTTCCCACCAGGAAAATCCTTAGTTGTGATTGGCTGCTGTGTATTTTGGTGTGCTATTTTTGTGACTGTCCCAAGGACGTTTCTATGATGCATAAATAAACGCGATTTGTGTGCTTGAGATCATTGTGCTTCCAGGGTGTTTGTAGAATACACTTCCTACGCTATATAAGGACTTTTCCATTAGTTCCCTTGGTCCAACTTTGATCGATTCATGATTTCGAAAAAAGTATAATTTAATCTCATTTGGTATTATCCAACATAAGAAAATACAAAGAAAAATGAAGGATTAATGTAAAATATTTTCTATGAAATAGGATTAAAATGTTTTTTCTCTGTGTCTACACTAACACACACACACCTACACAAAACAAATTAATTCACTTGGACAGTTTGTGTATAATCGAAAGTAAATCGAAAAAATTTGAACGGATTATAATAATGAGTGATAATTTTGAGAAAAGTGACTTGCTTGTCTAGATAGATTTTGTCTAAATGCTTGATGATAAATTGATATTTTGAAATTCTTCTTCTGAAAGCTGATCTATTTTTCTACTCATTCTAGTGACAAACTTTTAAGATGCCGGAAAAAGTGACAAAGTAACTGACTAGTTGTGAGGGAATTGTAAGTAATCATGAAAAACCACTCCTTCGATCACGATCAAAGTTAGACATCAGTAGTCTATAGTTTAGGCGTTCGCTCACAAAACCTGAGGTTCCTGAGTCCGTTTCCCGCGAGCGGTACTCGTCGATACGCACTTCTGTTGAGTCCCATACCTAGACGAAACGGCAGTTCAGTGCTTCCACGTTTCCAGATAGTGGTCTAACTATGATTCAGTCATGTTTTCAATATAAAACAACCCTTTTTCATAATACTACACCGCAAAATAACTAAGATCAGTTTGTATAACTTGGAAATCTCCAAAAACCCCCCATCTTAGGAATGAAGTAATCAATCTAAACTATTGGTAACTGTTCTAACATAATTCTTTAGAAACTCGTATTGATTAATTGATTTTGTTGTAATATTAATAAAGAATATCGTTTTCCCTAATTTCCCTCTTCCCTCCGATTTTTTTTTCCATTTCAGCTTTCGCAAATCCTGCTTTTGATTAGATGCCATTGATAAAATAACCAATTAATCACTCAATCAATCAATCAGTTAATTAATTAATTTTAAAAAATGGGTAACATATTGGGGTCTAGAAAAAAATTACCAAAAGAAGATTTGGAATTTTTACGAACTAATACAAATTTTACTAAAAAACAAATCAAACAATGGTATCGTGGATTTATAGTAAGTATTCTTTTTGAAAGTAAATTGATTTTGTTGATGAGACTGTGTTCGTGTGTGTGTGTGTGTGTAAGTAAGTAAGTAAGTAAGTAAGTAGGCAAGTAAGTAAGTAAGTAAGTAAGTAAGTAAGTAAGTAAGTAAGTAAGTAAGTAAGTAAGTAAGTAGGCAAGTAAGTAAGTAAGTAAGTAAGTAAGTAAGTAAGTAAGTAAGTAGGCAAGTAAGTAAGTAAGTGAATAATGCGCACTTCTATCAAAGAGGAGTCCTATACGATGACAAGATGGCTGTCGATTACTTTCAGATTTGCAGTGAATGTCTTTCCTATTGACAACAATATACATTTCACTGTTCATGATTAACTAATCTGACTAATAGTTGAAATGAAGAATGAAATGTAGGAGATAAGGTTAGGCACAAAACTTGTCGTACTCTTTTCGCACGTTGGGATCAAACACATCAACAGAATTCTCAGATTACTAGGGGTGATAACAGGTATCAATGGTAATAGAGAAGTTTTGGGAAAATATCTATTAGTGAAATAAAAGTACGTTGAAGAATTTATACACTTGGGATATATGGGGAAAATAAAGCATTGTGACGGATTGGTATAAACGTCGCCTAATGTTTCCAGCTATTTCTTATTGATAATGGTAAATATTTAAAAAATAGATAGTGTGTATCTACAAAAAATGTCTCACTCCGATTGTCGATGCTTTCATAGAGTGATGAGATGTTTTGGTTTGTTTCTCTCTGGCTTCTTTCCAATGTACTCGTTTATCAGTCATCACACAGCTCTTCGGAACTCGATGGTCCAAAAATATACGAGCAATGCTTCGAAGAGTTATTGTATTCATTAAAATAAGATATTGGTCAAGTTGATTGGCTTTTGCCAACTTGCGCCATATATAGCATGGGCGAGTTAACCAAAGGACGAGTGTACTGCGCAGCAGTTCGCACCGTCCTACTTTATGGCTGTGAAATATGGCCAGTAAGAGTAGAAGATATTCATAGGTTACTGGTTTTCGATCATACGTGTCTCCAAAGCATTGCTCGTTTATTTCGAGACAGCTGAGTAAACAATGCAGCTGTCAGGAAACAGGTATTTGGTAAGAATGGCAGATCAATAGATGAAGTAGTGAAACTTCATCAGTTGAGGTAGTTGAGACATGTGTTACTTATACCTAACCACAGACTGCCTCGTCCAGCAATGCTTTGCGATATAGGAATAGGTTGGAAGAAAGCTTGGGGCGGCCTAACCAAAGCATGGCACAAATCCATGAAGTCATTGACGACCGGATTTAGCCATGTTGGTAATTGTCGAATACCTGGTTGGGGTCCGTGAGATAATAGTAATCGATGGTCAGAGACCTTGAATGACATGGCTCAAAATCGTTTGTAATTGCACTGGTGCATCCACTCTTTGTGTTCCCTCAAATTCTAATCTTCTAAATTCCTCATGACCATTTTTTCTCTTGTGTAACTGATTTCTCTTCAGTATACATCTTGAATGATATCTATATATCATTAATCTTTTTGATTACTGCTAATACTTCTACTATTTCTACTACTATGGGATTCAAATTGACAATTGTACTTACGTACTTACGAAGTTCTACATTGTAACTAACTAACTGACTCTAGTTAGTAAGTAAACACAATTTGTATGTGAATAAAACACATGAACAAAGAAAAGAGAATAGTTTATTACTTAAAATCCATGTAAAATATTGATCATGAAAACATGAATAGAAAGTTGAAAACAATCAATATGGGGCATGAAACATAAAAAAAGAATAAAAATGACCATGATAATAAACAATTGATCAATGAACACTTAAACTGTGACTAGATTCTGCTTTAATGGAACCGAATTGAACAATAATAAAATTATCACATAAATCATTGATTGATTCGGAAAAAAAAAGATAAACAGGGTTAATTAAAAAGGGAAAAATTCTAATTAAACAATGAATCCTAAGCAAAACAAATGATCAACTCATTGTTTACGATGATGTATACAGTTAAATTAATCAACATTCATGGAAAAATTTTTTCAATGCTTATATTAGCTAAGTAAAAATAGATTATTGAAACTGAGATAGATTTTTTTGTTGTCAAATGCAATACGATTGAATCGTTCAATCACTCATAAGTAATGTAGAACTGTAGTATCCAAAGTGAGGATTGGATTGAGGAATAACAGTCTAGGTAGTTTAGATACGTGCTATTGCCCAGTTTAAAACCAAAACAAGTGATTTGGGTAAATAACGGTCCCAATAATATAGATGTACATCATTACCTAAACAAATATTACCATTCAGTTATTCCACCAACAATTGTTTAATTAGTCAAATCAACAGCAACAAATAAATGATATTCTATCCCTCCTAGGTAGATCAGATTCCTTCAAAAGATAATATTTGGTTGCTTTATAACACAGACTGTTTCCTATTGTGGAAGAGTGCTTCAATTCACAGTCAAAATGCTCAATTCCAGTCCACGCAAGCAATCCAAATCAAAAGAGGAACAAATCAATATGGCTGTCGCCATGACCAAGGTTCAGCTTAAACAACATAATTGCAGTTCAGAAAGAAACGCAAAAACTCAATGAAGGCAAAAGAAATAAAAACTATAATCAAATACAAATATTATCATCATCATCTCAAAATGGAATCGAACAGATTTATCAAAATGTACAACTGAAGGAAGAATCAATAAGAACAAATTACAAATGCACATACATGGAGGGATTTTCACAAACAAAGCCTCCAAGCATGGATCTTACAGAACTTGACATTTATCGGGACTGGTTCTAGTCATCACACTGCCATGCTCATATGATTTTGATATAATGGAGGAAATTTTTGTAACTCAGGTGGATGATTTCGGTGGTGATTCGCTCTCTGTGTTCTGGATGTTTTTGCTGTAGACCTATCATTGTTCTTCTAAACAACATCGGTAAAAGTGAAGTATTTAAATTTCTCTACGTCTGACCTGTAGCTTGTTATGTTAACCTCAATCTACGGGACATACGTGGAGAAATTCGAATACTTCACTGCTTCTTCCTGAAGTCTGTGCTGATGATATTGTTATTCAGAAGAAGAACAACGACACTTTCACAAACAAAATATCCAACTCAGAGAACGAAACACCACTACAATCATCACACTGCACGAGTATGGAGAAATACATTTTTTAAGAATAAATATCAAAGTAGTTGGTGTGGTAACTGTGTAGTAACTGTGTAGTGAAGGAGAACACAGGTGAGGGCAACCGAATTGTATTTATCTCTAATTGCAGAGTTAATCGGTAAAATAGGAAAACCATATCGTAAACCGTTAATTTGAATATCTTCAATCCATCATAAATCCATTGTCTGACATTCCACTTATTCATGCGTTTCATACAAATTCCATTGTGTTCCCACTCTTCCTTTCTCTTGATCTTCCCCCATCTTCTGCTGCCAGACATTACGTTTTCACTCGCGTCATATACTACTGATAAGTAGCGCGCACCACAACTGTACTACGTGTAGTAAAAAATTACTGGGCAACGACAGTATGATTCTAAGAAGGAAGGAATAAATTCATAGAAATTTCAAGGCTGAAAACTATTAAATGCAACTGAATATGTTTTATGTTTTTCCAACCACCGTCTACCACGACGATAAATGCTGAGAGGTTAGCGTTGGAATAGGTTACAAGAAAGTGGGCAATGGCCAATCCAAGATACTGTATCAATCAATAATCACTTCTGACCTAGACTGTGTTAGTAAGTTTAAACCACATAATCATCGTAATTAATGGTTAGAGTTGTTCGATAACACTGACTCACCGGCATTCACTCGTTATCTTTCTTCTAGTTTGACTAAACAACTCTAACGATCATCATTTATCATGATAGATGGTGGTTGGAAAAACATCATACATATTTTAAGCACCTGAGTTGTTGAAAAACAATATACTCCGGTTTCACCACTATATATTACTATAATACGATAATACTACTGATGATGGAGATCTTACTACTACTAGTTAACTTACTCAACCGATACGCTATACACATTCAGTCTACCCTCAAAGGATTCAGAGTGTAAGTCAATAAAAGCAAGGGAATCATATAAATAATCGTAAGCTGAGTGTCTCTTTGTTCACGCTCAATGGTCGATCATATTAAACCTTCACTAATACATTTCAAAGACTTGCTACTATATCAACTGGTTTAACATTTTGTCTCTAACCTCTGAACTGTTGACTCAATGATTCCATTATACGCGAATGATACTTCATAGACGTCTGCGATCAGATACTACTGAAATTCTTAAATCGGTAGTGTATAATTAACGAATCAAAGTCATACATAATGCAAACTATATGCAAAATAATTCATTTTCATTCATAAATTTCAAAATCTATGAACGGAGAATTTTTCACAATTGTTAGGGACACTAGATCCCCAGAACTCACTTGGAAAAGGTTCAAATTTTGTAATTTTATTGTAAAATTTTAAATTTTTATGTTTTCGCTCCAAAAACGCTTACTTGACCTTCAGCTTACATTTCCCACCCGAAAAATCCTTGACTGTCGTTGGTTGATGGATTATCTTAGTACACTATTTTTGTGGTTCTCCCAAGGGTGTTTCTAACATTGTATAAATAAGCTTGATTTGTGTACTTGTAAACCTCGTATTTTCTGGATGCCTGTAGAATACACTTTCCACGCCTTATCAAGACTTCTTGCTCTAGTTAGCCTGAGCTGGGGATAAACGGATTAGAATAGCCTATCGCGTCACTGCATCGTTGAGCCTCATTCCGTTTACCGCGTAAGGTGAACTCGTACTAGCATTCAAGCATATCAATTGACAAGCATATCAACGATCAATAATAACTTTTTCGCATTTAATTTTTTCCCTATATTCAACATTGAGATAAAATTGAGTTAGAACTATATACAAGTGGAATTTTTGAAAACTATCCTTAATGACTTGTTGTAATCACTATAGAAGAA